GAAGCTAGGAATACTGTGGTGAGTAACTCACCTCCTGACTCCTCAAAGCCTGTCCACACCTACAAGGCACAAGTCAGGAGTGTGATGGAATACTTCCCACTTGCCTGGATGAGTGCAGCCCCAACAACACTCAAGAATCCTGACACCATCCAGAACAAAGCAGCCCGTTTGGTTGGCACTACATCCACAAGCATTCACTCCCTCCATCACTGATGATCAGTAGCAGCAGTGTGTATTATCTACCAGATGCACTGCAGAAATTCACAAAAGATCCTCAGACAGCACCTTCCATGACAACTTCCATCTAGAAAGATAAGGGCAGCAGACATATGGTAACACCACCACCATCAAGTTCCCTTCCAAGCCACTCTCCATCCCAACTTGGAAATATATCGTTGTTCCTTCACTGTTGTTCTGTCAAAATCCTGGAATTCCCTCCCTAATACCATTGTGGGTCAACCAGAGCAGGTGGACTGCAGCTGTTAATGAAGGCAGCTCACAAACACCTTCTCAAGGGCAACTCGGGAAGGGCAGGAAATGTTGGCCAGCCAGCAATGCCCACATTCCATAAATGAACAGAAAATCAAAAAGGTGGAACTAGTTCAGTTTGGGAACATGGTCAGCATGGACGAGTTGGACTGAACAGTATGTTTCCATGCTGCACAACTCTATGAGTATCAGACATAGGAAGGATGTTGTTAAACTTGAGAGGATGCAGAAAAGATTTACAAGAATTTTGCTGGGACTGGAGAGTTTGAGTTTTAGGGAGAGGGTGAATAGGTTAGGGTTTCTTTCCTTGGAGCATCAGAGGCTGAGGGATGGCCTTATAGTCATTTATAAAATCATGAGGGGCATGGATAGGGTGAATAGCCAAGGTTTTTTTCTTAGGGTGGAGAGCAAAAAACTAGATGGCATATGTTTAAGATGAGGGGGGAGAAATTTAAAAAGGACCTGAGGTGTAACTTTTTCATGCAGAGGGTGGTGGAGGCGGGTACAATTATAACATTTAAGAGGCATCTGGATGGGCATATGAATAGGAAGGGTTTACAGGGATATGGGCCAAATGCTGGCAAATGGGACAAGGTCAGATTGGGATGTCTGGTTAGCTTGGACGAGGTGTAGTGAAGGGTCTGTTTCTGTGTTGTATGACTCTATGACTCTCTGACTGTATAACTGTTTTGTCTCCTTACTGCAAACATTAACTCATTTTCCATTTTCATTCAACTGTTGCCATCCTCTGACCTACCAGTGACCTTCCCATTTGCTCTTCTACCTGCTTCCCCTCTTCTAATGGCATAAAGCCCATCATATTAAACTCTCCTTTGCTCTGACAATGAGTCATATTCAATAATTCTTTTTCTTTCTCCACAGATGCTGCCAGACATGCTGAATATTTCCAGCCCTTTGTGATCTTATTTCACATTTCCAGCATCCAGAGCAGTTTCCTTCTCTATTATTTATTGGTTGGCACTTTTTTTATATTAGCCTTTTATAAACTTTAAAATCTATTTTTTTGGCTATCTCCTTCAATACTCTTTGTCCTCATCATCAGCTTGTCGCCATAAAGCTATGGGTGAGAATAATGATCAGGCTGGCGCCCTGCAGCAGATCGCCGTGAAATATGTCAACTCCGCTTTGTCATGACTGCATAGCTCCTCCAGGGCCGTCCAAGGAACCTGTTGGAACTTGAGTCCTCCTTAAATCTCCTTAAGCACAAGGGCAGCAGATATATGGGAACAACACCACCTTCAAGTTCCCATCCAAGCCATTCACCATCCTGACTTGGAAACATACCACCGTTCCTTCACTGTCGCTGGGTCAAAAACCTGGAATTCCCTCCCTAATGGCATTGTGGGTCAACCCACAGCAGGTGGAGTGCAGCCGTTCCACAAGGCAGCTCACTACCATCTTCTCAAGGGCAACTAGGGATGGGTAAGAAATACTGGCCAGCCAGCGACACCCACATCCCACAAATGAATGAATTTTAAAAAACCTGTATTGACTCAGTGTTTCATATTTAGTATTTCCTGTGTAGCATGAGACTTCATCTTACCGTGTTCCAACAGTAAAAAGATTATTACTATCAAGATCATTGGAACTGTCAACAGACCTGTCGAATTCAATTGTGAAAACTATCAAAGACACCTCTCAAAGGGACCTGAAAAATGAGGCGAGAAAACCTGTAAAAGGAACTTGTCAAGTGGAATTGTCAAAAGTTTAAAGAAGAAAGTCTTATCGTTTAAATCTTTGAGTGAAGGATATTTAGAGCATCTGACCTGTCCTTGTAGCTACTGTATTTGTGTGGCTGGTCCAATTCAGCTTCTGGACAATGGAAATTTCCAGGATGTTGATAGTTGGGCATTCAGCGATGGTAATGCCATTAAATGTCTCAGGCTGATGGTTAGATTCTCTCTTGTTGGAAATGGCCTTTGCCTGGTACTTGTGTGGGGCAACTGTTACTTGCCATTTGTTTGCTCAAGCAAATTGACATGGATTATACCAGTATCTATGCAGTTGCTGAGTTTTGAACACTGTGCGATTGCGACCAGCAAGCATCACCTTTCTGAACTTTTGATGGAGGGAAAGTCATTTATGAAGTAGCTGAAGATGGTAGGGTCTCGGACACTACACTGAAAAACTCCTGCAAAGATGCCCTTGGGGTTGAAAGGACTGACCTCTAACAACTATGCTCCAATGAGCCACTTATGTCTCCAGCCAGTGGACAGATTTCCCCCGATTTTCGCATTACCTCTGGAGTTCAGCTCTTTTGTCCATGCCTGAGTTCAAGTTGTAATGAGTTCAGGTACTGGCTGTCCCTTGTGGAATCACAAACTCGGAGTCAGTAAGCAAGTTATTGTTTTGCAAGTTCCACTTCATAGGCCTGTTCATGACCCCTTCCATCAGTTTCCTGACATTAGAAATTAGATTGACAGATCAGTAATTGCAAAGGAAGCATGCTCTCCCTTGAAAGGAGTCTGATGCAACATGACTCATGCCTACAGTAACCTTTTAGAGGCAACAGTAATTCTGTACTTCTGCTCTGAGACTGTAGTGGTAATTGCAACTCTTGGCTGATTTCAGTGACAACATCTGATGCATTGCTCCCTATTGCAACTAAGGGTGAAGAATTGTTCCCGGTGCACACTTGAATGATATGACCTCCAGCTAAAGGCCATTTTAATCCTATTTCCTCCTCCAGCCATCTGTCCTGCTTTGTGCTGCTTATGTTCATTCTACCTATCCTGTTATAGGGAGTACATCCATTGCAACTGAGTCTGAGAGTAAACAGATTGTGCAGTATCCTTGTGGTCAAGAGAAAAACATCTTTCAGCATGTGTCACAGCACTCCCTGTAGCCTGCACCAACTCTAAACAACTCAAAAGAGACCCCGGCAGAGACTGCAAGAAACACTACATCAGACAAACAGGAAGGAAACTAACAACAAGAGTACATGAACACCAACTGGCTACAAAAAGACATGATCAATACTCACTCATCTCAATCCACTTGGACAAGGAGAACCATGACTTCGACTGGGACAACTCCAAGATCCTGGGACAGGCTAGGCAGAGACAAGCACGAGAATTCCTGGAAACATGGCGCTCCACGAAGCATGCTATTAATAAACACAGTGGACTCGACCCCATATACATTCCACTACGGAGGAAACCCAGAAGAGAGGCAATCCATCGCAACGGACCCCAGAATTTAAAAACCAGGTGGGAAAACACACCAACGCTTCATCAGAGGTTGCACTGAGGATGTTACCAAGCATGGTAACGAAACGTCTGCGGAACAACAAACCAGCTCGGCGAGCCAACCAACCTCAATAACTCATAACTGACTTCACCGCATCATAAGAAGTAAAAATTGATTGAAGATATTATCCATTTTATTATTTTTAAATTAAGTAAAATGTGAGCTTTTGGAGTCATTTTTAAGGTAACTACATATCTTTATTGCTGGAGTTGGGGTAATTCGATCCTTTTTCAGGAGCACTTTCTATGGCACTGATACCTACATGACATAATGACAGTGCTGAACTCAAGAGGAACCAAACTTGAAACAGTTTATTAATGACTCTTACAATAAACCATTGATGACAGTTTTCAGCTCGATCTTCATATAAAAGGTGTAGCAGGAAGGGGAATATATATTTGGCTGAAAAATCATGATATTCGGCTACACTAATGACAAGCTGATTCCTCCACAATTTCATTAATGGTACAGCATTTTAATGATTTGGTTTGAAATCTTAGCATCTAATATTTAAACAGACTTTTCCAGACTGCAATATTTCTATTGAGACTCTTTGTATGAGATTCTTTCAAACAGTTTGCTTTTATACAACATGATTATTTCATCAACAATAATTTTCGACCACACAGGCATATCTTTGCGTCTGCAGTTTCCTCCAATTACTGATTTTGAAAATCATCTTTGACTTCATTTTCGTCTTCAATGAGGGAGAGGAAATGCAAAGCAGAGGAATATACTTGGATGCCTTTGTGGTGGGTGACAGCAGAATTTCAATTATTCAGCCTGCCATTCCTTATTTTTTTAAACTTTCTATACCATCAGCCATATGCTATCTTGCAATTACTTTGTAAGCTCAGATAACATGGCCTTCTGCAGTGCAGTGATGTCAGGGCATTTATAGCCATATTTGCGAAGACAACAACAGTATCACTGAGACAATATCCCAATCTTAATTTAATGACAAGAGCCTCTGTGTCATGGTGCATCGTGAACATTTTCTTAAGACATAATTGTTTGTGTTCTGTAAGCTCATTATGTGTAGCTATAACATTTTACAGCATAACTTACCAGACAGTTGTAGGAGTAATTAAAAATGATTCTGATTTATGTCACATTTTTGCTACATCCCATAAATTCTCTTACACTAATAGTCTCAACAAAATGGTTTCCAGCAAAACAATCTCTTTTAATCAGCTTTTGTCATAATGCTAACAATAGCAGAAGTTATAAAACAAACTTACCTTGTGGCTGTCTTGTTTGATGGTAAATCTGAAGGTCATATGGTCTTGCACTGGTTCTCTGTATGACAGTAACATTGTGGCCAGTCCATTTGTTGGCTTTCAATAGGGTGTTAGTCTTCCAGTCAGTCCAATAGACATCGCCTCCATACACTGTTACAGCAAATGGATGTGAAAGGTATTCATGATGACGTAGGACTTCTATCAATTCTGTGCCATCATATAATGCTGAATATATACCATCTGACCTACATCAAGAAATATAAGACAGAAGAACAGAGAGAGAAAATTTACAAACACACAATTATTTTCTGAAGCAGGAACCCATTTTGATTAAGTACATGACAGCATTTTTAATGGACATTACATTTTATAATAATGAATAAAGCCTGTAATCAATGCAAATTATATTTGATAAGATGTATAGCTTTCAAGGAGTAAGTTATAGTTCCAGACACTGAAGTTGCATTGTGGCAAGCAGGAAATGCGAGGTTATTGTATTCTGACAAGGACAAATTGAACAATGACACTGAAGTACTTTAGAATACTTAATTTCAGTTTTCCCAGTTCTGATTTCAGCTGTCTGTGGCACTAGTTGTTATGGAACACTTTGCAGTGTTGACAGTGTTGAGTTTGCTGGTGTCATCTCTGGGGCCTAGATCAAAGTCAGGTGGTCTGTCCAGTTTCATTTTTTCCAGCTTTTTCACAGTTAGATGCACTGAATGGCTTTTTCAGCCATTTCAGAGAGGAGTTATGGGAATCAGTCACATTGCTGTGATTCTGGAGTTACACATAGCCCAAATCAGGAGATGACAGCAGATTTCCTTTCCTAAAGGACATTAGTGAATCAGATAGCTTTTTATGACAATTGACATAGTTTCATAGTTATGACCGAACTTTATTAATTCTGGATATTTTTTATAATTCAAATTTCATCAGTTGTTGTGAATCTGGTTACTCAGCAAACTACCTGGCTCTCTAGAATACTAGTCCAGTATGCCACTGCCTCCCATACTGTACTGGCTGGCTAGTCATAGTAACTTATTTACCTCTTAGTTTGTGGCAGCCATTAAATACAATGTTCAAGACATACTATAATGCAGATGTTCCAATAGCCAGGGAATTAGAAACATAGAATCTCAGAAACCGTACAGTGTGGAAAGAGGCCATTCTTTCAAGTCCACACTTTCAAGTCCAAAGAGCCCAAAGGTGGAATTGAATCTGGGTCCCTGGTCCTCTGAGGCAACAATGCTGTCTACTGAGCCACTGTGCTGACCATTCAGCTTTTGAAGCACAATAGCCTGAAGTTGTACCTTTGGACCATGTGGAATCCCCAACACAGCTGTTGTGTGAGAATTGCTCAGGGATTTGAATTTTTGCCCTATATTGTGACTTGGGACCAGTGTAGAGCAGTTGCCACCTTGACCATATGCAGTGAATGCAAATAACGAAAAATATTGTCGCAATCACAGACAGATAGCTACTATTAGAAAAGTTATTCTTTCACTGCAGTCTGCTGATCAGGAGGATATAATCTCATCCTTTGCATAGCTTCGAGAATGGTCATCAGTCCCAGAGACCTGCCTTTCCCCAATATGACAAATGTTAAACACTTACACACAATTTTTTTGGAATATGTTAACATTGCATAATGGATTCCTCTCAGAATGTGCAAAATCAGCCAACTGCACTTCAAAAACTTTTGCAACCATGTCAACTAATGTGGAGGTTGGGCTGGTCAGGTAGGGAAGGTATTGGCATCATGGAGATATGACTGGACTAGTAATCAAGAGACCATTGCTAATGCTCTGTGAACATGGATTCAATTCTATCAAAATAGAAGGTGGAATTTAAGTTCAATTTATAAAGGAAAAGGCTGAAATTGAAAGCTACTCTCAAAAATGCTGGCCATGAAACTGGACATTGTCATAAAAAACATCATCTGTTTCACTATAGACCTCAAAGGACAAAATGTGCATTCCTTATCCAGTCTGGCCAAATGAGACTCCATATTCACAGAAAGTCTTAATTCTCCTACAAAATGGCCTAGCCACACAGTTCCAGAGCAATCAAGGTTGGACAACAAATGACAACATTCTAGCGATGCCCATATCTCATGAAGGAATAAAGAAAAAAATTCAACCATTCATAGAGGCTTTTGTATTTTTTTGGTTCCAACCTACTTAGTTGCCCTCTGACAGACATCAATGAGATCTGCCAAGGGCTAGATCATCATTTTGACAGGTCATCTTTTGATCAGTTGTAGCTATTTGACATAAACTTTGGTCCACACTGTTAGCGTAATGGAAAATTGCTCCAGTTAGTTCGCACCATACAGAAAATGTTAGTTTTTCTTAGCTAACAGGAAGAAAGACAAGTTTTATCTTTGATATCATCTCAAGGCACTGGAAAATTTTGGCTTTTTTATATTAAAGTGTTTTGATTTGATAAAAGAAAAAAATGATTCTATGATGATTTTTATTCCTATTGTGTTAAATGATCTCCAGTTATTTTAGTGCAATAAATTCTCACAGCAACTAATAGGGGAAGGTGCAGATTTTACTGGTAATAGATAACAATAAATAAAAATGCTTTAAAGAATAGAGCCACAGCAATTGTTTGGGGATTTGGGATGAGCAAATAGAATGAGAAAGAGGAGATACAAAGACATTTCAGGATCATGTTCAAACTTTTCATGCAGAAAAAAGTATTAATCTTACATAGCATCAATCCAAACAATTCGGTTCTCAAGGTAATCCACTGTTAGTCCATTAAGCCAGCCACCAGTTCCTAAAGCTTTGTAGATTGTTTTCCGTCCTGCTCCACTCATTGACGCAGCCTCGATACGTGGGAAACTAGAATCCCAATCTGTCCAAAAAAGAATTCTAACCAAAAAAGACCTAATGAATATTAACATTTTTTATAACATTACAGACAAATTCAGAATTTTTGTTATCATTTCTTCAGTATTTGTTTTTAAAAATTATGAATTTTAAAGCTCATAACAATTGAAAATATATATAAGAAACATAAGTTAATTGATTAGTATAACGTTGTTAAAAACTGAAAGAAATGCAGATGCTGTAAATCAGGAACAAAAGCAGAAGTTGCTGGAAAAGCTCAGCAGGTTTGGCAGCATTTGTGTTCTGAGGAAGGGTCACCGGACCCAAAATGATATTTCTGATTTTTCTTCACAGATGCTGCCAGACCTGTTGGGGTTTTTCCAACAACTTCTGCTTTTGGTTCAGTATAGAGTTGCTGCTGCTTTGCCTGCAACTTTCTACATTGCTTTCAGAAGTTTCCAGAACAAATAATAGGACAGAGAGTTTGGAAAGGATCAGAAATCCAAGTTCAGGCACAGTGAATGAGGAGACAACTATGAGAAGGGGTGCAGTCAATGCAGGACTGAGGGTGTTGTACACAAATGCATGCAGTATATTTACAAAACAAGAAAATGAGCTGGTAGCGGAGATTGAAATTGGAAGATATATTGTTGTGGGTATCACAGAGGCGTGGCTGCAAGGGAGTCAGAGCTGGGAAATAAATGTCAAAAGAAATGCATCCTATCGAAAGGACAAGTAGATGGCCAAAGGGGGTGAGTTTGCCTTGTTGTTAAGAAATGCAATTAACCAAACAGGAAGAAGTAATATAGAGTCGGAAATCACAAAATCTGTGTGGATAGAGTTGAGGAGCCAAAAAAAAAGACCCTGATGGGAGTTATGCCTAGGCAGTAGTCAGGATGTGGGGAGGAAAATAAATCAGGAGATAGCAAAAGCAGGTAAGAAAGGCATTATTACATTAATCATAGAACATAGAGCATAGAACATAGAACATAGAACAGTACAGCACAGTACAGGCCTTTTGGCCCACGATGTTGCGCCGAATTTTTACCCTAAACCTAAGGTCTATCTAACCTCCACCGCCACCTTATACTATCATCCATATGCTATCTAATAGTCGCTTAAATGATCCTAATGAGGCCGACTCCACTACCCTCTCCGGCAATGCATTCCACGCTCCTACCACTCTCTGAGTAAAGAACCTACCTCTGACGTCTCCCCGATATCTACCTCCTTTCACTTTAAAACTATGTCTCCTCGTAAAAGCTACCTCCACCCTAGGTAAAAGTCTCTGGCTGTCTACTCTATCTATACCTCTGATCATTTTGTACACCTCTATCAAGTCACCTCTCATCCTTCGTCGTTCTAAAGAGAAAAGCCCGAGCTCTCTCAATCTTTCCTCGTAAGACCTTCCCTCCATTCCAGGCAACATCCTGGTAAATCTCCTCTGCACCTTTTTCAATGCTTCCACATCTTTCCTGTAATGAGGTGACCAGAACTGGACACAATACTCCAGATGTGGCCGAACCAGGCTTTTGTATAGATGGAGCATAACTTCACGGCTCTTGAACTCAATCCCTCTATTAATGAAAGTTAATACACCATACGCCTTCTTAATAACTGTATCCACCTGGGTGGCAGCTTTCAGGGAACTGTGAACATGAACCCCAAAATCCCTCTGCTCCTCCACACTGCCAAGAATCTTTCCGTTAACCCTGTATTCTGCTTTCAAGTTTGTCCTTCCAAAATGAATCACCTCACACTTTTCAGGGTTAAACTCCATCTGTCACTTCTCAGCCTAGCTCTGCATCCTATCAATGTCCCTTTGTAACCTAGAACAGCCCTCCGCACTGTCCACAACGTGACCCACCTTCGTATCATCTGAGAACTTGCTAATCCACCCTTCCACTCCTTCATCCAAATCATTTACAACAATCACAAATAGAAGAGGACCCAGAACAGATCCTTGTGGTACACCACTCGTAAATGAGCACCATGTTGAATATTTTCCGTCCACTACCACCCTTTGTCTTCTAAGGGTCAGCCGATTCTGAATCCAATCTGCCACATTTCCCCCTATCCCATGCCTCCTTACCTTCTGCATGAGCCTACCATGGGGAACCTTATCAAATGCCTTACTTAAATCTATGTATACCACATCCACTGCTCCACCTTCATCCACGTGTTTGGTCACCTCTTCAAAGAATTCAATAAGGTTTGTGAGGCATGGTCTATCCCTCACAAATCCATGCTGACTATCACTAATCAAACTGTGCCTTTCCAAGTGATCATAAATCCTGTCTCTTATAGCCCTTTCCAATAATTTGCCCACCACTGACGTAAGAATCATGGGGGACATCAATGTGTAGATGGAGTGGGAAAATCAGGTTGGTAGTGGATCTCAAGAAAAAGACTTTGTGGAGCGTCAACAAGATGGCTTTTTGGAGCAGTTTGTCGTAAAGCCCACTAGAGAACAGGAAATTCTGGATTTGGTGATGTGAAATGAGAGACTTGATTCGGGAGCTTACAGTGAAGGAACTCCGTACAGGGCAGTGACCATAATATGATGGAATTCACCTAGCAGTTTGAGAGGGAGAAGCTGGAAACAGATGTAATGATATTACAATTGAGTAAAGGTATCTATATAGACACGAAGGAGGAGCTGGTCAGAATTGATTGGAAGGGGAGTGTAGCAGGGAAGATGGTGGAGCAGCAATGACAGGAGTTTCTGGGGTTAATTTGGAAGGCACAGCAGAAATTTATCCCAAGAAAGAAGAAACATACAAGGGGAGGACGAGACAACCATGGCTGACAAGGGAGGTCAGGGACAGCAGAAAAGCAAAAATAAAGGTGTACAATGTGGTGAAGATTAGTGCAAAGCCAGAGATTTGGGCAAAGGAACTGATGAGGTACTTTGCATCAGTTTTCACGGTAGAAGACAGCAGCAGCATTCTCAACCTTCAAGAGAGTCAGGGGGCAGAGATCATTATAGCTGCCATGACTAAGGAGACGGTGCTGGGGAAGCTGAAATGTCTGAAAGGGATAGATCACTCAGACCAGATGGACCACACTCCAGAGTCTGAATGAGATAGCTCAGGAGATTGTAGAAGCATTGGTTGGCGATCTTTCAGGAATCACTGGACACAGGGATTGGAAACTGGATAATGCAACAGCCCTGTTTAAGAAGGGACCAAGGCAAAAGACAGGAAACTATCAGCTGGTTAGCCTGACCTCAATGTATGGTAAGATTTTTGAGTCCATTACTAAGTATGAGATTGCAGAGTACTTGGAAATACATGTTAAAATAGAGCTGAGTCAGCATAGCTTCATCGACGGAGGTCATGCCTGATAAATTTGTTAGAATTCTTTGAGGAGGTAACGAGCAAGTTAGATAAAAAAGAGCTAGTGGATGTGATCTATTTGGATTTCCCAAAGGCCTTTGACAAGGTGCCGCTGAATAAGATAAGGGCCCATGGTGTTAGGCGCAAGTAATGACATGGTGACTGGCAGAAGGCAGAGGGTAGGGATAAAAGAGTCTTATTCAGTATGGCAATGGGTGACTAGTGGAGTTCCACAGTGGTTGCTGTTGGGACCACAATTATTTGGCATAGATTATTTTCAAAATGGGGAAAGACTTTGGAAATCTGAAGCCCAGAGTGACTTGGGAGTCCGAGTTCAGAATTCTCTACAGGTTAGCATGCAGGTTCAATTGGCAGTTAGGAAGGCAAATGCAATGTTAGCATTAATTTCAGGATGGCTGGAATAATGTGAGCAGTTTTGGGCCCTACATCAAGGAAAGGATGTGCTGGTACTGGAGGCGGTGCAGAAGAGATTTACAAGAATGATTCTGGGGTTTGTCAATGAGGAGCTATTGAGGCCTGTGGACATGTACTTAATGGAATTTGGAAGAATGAGGGGATCTCACTGAAACTGAACAGAATACTGAGAGGCCTGGATGGAATGGACGTGGAGAAGATATTTCTACGAGTAGGAGTGACTAAAATCCAAGGGCACAGCCTCAGAATGTATGGACGACACTGTAAAACTAAGATGAAGGGGGATTTCTTAGTACAGAATGTGATGAATTGGTGGAACCTACTGCTGCAGAGGGCTCTGAGGGTCAAGTCATTGAATGTCTTTCAGAGAGAGAGAGATGGGTTGTTGATTGTTCATGATGTCAGGGGTTACTGGGAGAAGGCAGGAGAAGTTGGCTAAGAAACTTATCAGCCATGATCGAATGATGGAACAGACTCGATAGGAGAAACTATAGTGAATATTATGACAGGTTGGATTGATATTGGGCTAGGAAAACAGAAGCCTATGCAACTGGACTTAAACAACAATCTGTCTAATGGTGAATATCTCCAGTTTTGAATATGCTCGTTTACATGTGTGAAACCTGGAATACAGCCATTAACATTAAGCACTAATGAGGAGTTTTCATCAAATCAACAATAGATCTGTTCGATGAATCAACCAAGATGAAATTATCATAACTTATTCTCATCTAATAATAAGGACATTAGTTAAATCATACAGCATAAATAATAATTAATAACAAATGCGGATTGTAGATTTGCAGTGTAATTTAATAATTGGTTATTAAAGTTAAAATAAAAATTTCAAGCTTCACACCCATTATCACAATTCACACTACTCCCTATCACTCAGAAGCATTCAATCTTATTTTTGTTTTTTTCTGTAATCACTCCCAACCATGCATTTCCTATTAGGTTTCTTTATTCCCTTGTGATATTGAGGGGAAAACGAGGCAGCTAGCCAATTGTGATTGAGAACTGTCCAAACATATTCTTCTGACGAAATATGTGGCTCTGTGTGGCTGAGAGGAAATGCTCATATGATGGGACATTTGGCCACTTTTTGTTTTGTACAATCACTGCTGGGTATTTATCTGACATTCAGTAGTTGGGTTTTAACATTTCAACACATGAAATTTAACCCAAGACCTGCTCTTTCAGATGATTAGATTGAAAGACATGATGATATGCATTTAGTTTATCTCATTACTTCATCAACATGTACAT